GTACCGTAAGTCTAATACAGCACTAATTTTATACATTTCTTGTGAAAGAAACATTTCTTATTCAACGGCCATAAAAATTATTTATATTAATGATGTCTCCAAAGGTCAAGTTATTTTTCTGCGAAAAATTCGTTATTAGAAATCACGGCTGCTGTTTCGTGCGCTGTTCCGCGACGAAAATAAGCTTGAGCAACGGCGTAGTCGAACGGTGCACACTCGGTAAGTAATCCTACAATTTTTTGTTTATAGCATAGTTTATACAGATTATTCCCAAAAAATTATACGTGTTTTGGAAATGTTGAGTGGAATTAGTCTAGAATCGGTTAATTTTATAGAAGAGAACCTTTCAAACAGCCTTAATCCGTAAACTTCACACGTGTCGGGCTGCGATTGGCTCATGTATTTAATGATTCCTACAACGTAAAATTCGATTAACGTGGAATGTATCTAAGCATTATAGGGGGGGTCTACTGTACTACATTCACAATTTAAAAAAAAAAAAATTATAACAAGATGGTTTATATCAAAATTATTCTGATAAAAATCTTCACACCATTTATGATAAGTTCTCATGACATAGTTTATTCATAAACTCTACTAATGATGGTTGTGTTATTTCCTTTTTGAAACTTGTATACATTAAAGTCCTATACAATGTGCAGATAAAGCAAGCAACACCCTCGAATTTTGTTGATCAGAGGTATACATTTTTTTTTTCAACTTATAGGCCAAGGTTTAAACTTTCATAAATCATGTGATAATGCAGGTTTCAATAATGTGATTTCCTATAATGCGTAATGAATTCCCTGCACTGTATGGGACTCTACTGTAATGTTCTATATTTCAAATATACTAGTTTTGCTTGTTTTAAATGTTTGAAATTCATTCTTTAACCAGTTCTTTCACTGATTGTAAGGCTAGCAATTTGTTTGACATCTACTGCTGGCTGACAAGAGAGTCATGATGTGACCTCCCTTTGAGATCTAACCAGCTAGTGGGCATCTTATTTATAAAATTAACTTTTTTGAGGATCACTGTCAAGGAGGCTTATCAAGTAGTGACAAGCCAATTCGAGCTTTCATTCGTCGGAACATGTTTTCCAGAAAAGGCCAGTTAGCGTGTTGTAGCACTTCGTGACTATTTCTTTTTTGTTTTCGTTTCGGTTTTTTTTTCTTCCCACCCCTTTCGTTTTGTGTTGCGATACCACCGTTCCCGGTTAGCTGTGGATTGGCTGGTTGAGGGTCACGTGCGGTATTTCCGGTTTGTAAGATATATAAGGTGGGACCCACGTGGAGTAGTGGCTTCTTGGCCTTTCTTTGTTCCTGGGATTCCTGGCTCGATTGAAGTGCTGAAGAAAGAAGGGAGAAAAAGGATTGGCGTCGGAATAAGAACTGTGTGGCCATGGACTCTAACTCGCCCAATTAGAAGAAGATCGAAGGAAGATTCGTCGGCACGTAGTGGTTCTTCAAATGTTTTGTTCGTGGCCAAGATTTTCTCTCGTCGTGAGTAACGTTCTGTTATTTGTCTTTGTTACGCGTCGTTCTTGTCGTCCCGCTTCGCCATGTGTCGTGAGCCCCATTGTTAAGGAAGATAGAGGAACGAGGTAAACGTGTGTATCTTTGATTCAGATGTGTTACTGTGTTATTGATTCGCGGTGTGTGTAATTATCTCGATTGGAATTAACGAACTTTAATTAAAAACCTTAACTATTGTGAGCTGACTTGTCCGTGTGTTTTTTTTTTTTTTTTTTTTTTGTTTTGTTTCAACCCTGAAAACCCTACTCAACAGGGGACACTTTTACATTGGCGTCCGCGACAGGATTGGTTTGTGTAAAAGTCAGCCAAGCTTGCTTACCCGTTCCTCCTTCCTTGGTTGTGCCGTGAGTAAGAATAATTCAGTCAACCGGTGCATAATATTGTCGTGAACGTTCCCCAAATTTATGATGGAAAATAACGAGGTCAGTGGGTCAGCAGAGGGAGTATGTAATGTCCCAATTGTGACCGGGTTTATGGGAATGATCCCATGCTATTCTAACCTGCCCGGCGATGCCTTGGATGTGTACAGATTCTTCGAGACCGTGGAAGACGTGGCGTTGTTGGCTAGTTGGGAAGAAAAAGTCAAAGTGACGGAAGTTAAGGCTAGGCTTAAGGGGGAACCATTATCAGTCTTCTTCAACTTAAGGAACCAAGGGGGTCACTCGGTATGAGGAAATTAAGGAAGGCCTGTTAAAGTGCTTCGGCTGGAGGGACAAGGAGCAGGACCCCTTCCACCAATTGTTGAAAATAACGCAAAAGAAAGGGGAAAAGATTTACGAATACGGTGTCCGCGTCAAAACGTTGTTCTCACGGGCTGTAGCTCGCAATGGGAACCTCGCTACCATCCGTGATAATGCTGTGAAGGAGTGTTTCATGAAGGGGCTGGATTTCGACATTCGCAGGCAAGTGATACAGAGCCGGCCAGAAACATTGGACCAGGCCATTCAGAAGGCAGAAGAGGAGGAGGCAACTGAAGCAGCTTGTGGGAAGAGAGGGATCACAAGCGAAGTGTGCACGAACTCGGAACAAAAAGGGGTGCTCACTGAGAGGGTGGATAGGATTGATAGTCGAATAGCGGATCTCGAGAGGCAAGTTTGGGTGTTAGGAGAGTGGGTCGCTTCTTTGGTTGAATGTATTAAGGGAAATGAGGAATTCGGTAGGAGGGAGAGAGGCGATAGAAGGTGTTACTCGTGCGGAGAAAGGGGGCACCTAGCGAGATATTGTAAAAATGATAAGGCTTTAAACTAATGGGGGGTCATTTGGAGGGTCAGACAAATGACCAGCACGTAAAGTTGGAGCTGACCTCGAGCGTGGATAACAAAGTAGCCGATTTTCTGTCGAGGAATGTCAATGAGATATACCGCTTGGACACGGGTCCCCCAACCCACATAGCCCCCGATAAGCACGACATAAAATTATCACAAGATAGAGATGAATACTTCGGGCCCATAAAACGCGATTTGCTTAGAGCCCAAGAGGATCAGGGCGTGAGCAGTGAGTCATCAAGATATATAGTCGTGGACGACTGCTTGTATAGATTAGGTTACGATAACACCCGCGATCAGCGGAAAGACCAAGTGTGCATGGGGGAGAGCGTCGCCGCGGATCTAATTAAAGCTATTCACACCGACGACATGTCAGGGCACTGGGGCATTAGGAAGACCATAAAAAACATTGAGAGGCGCTATTACATACGGGACTTAAAGAGGAGAGTCGAAGAAATTATTAAAACTTGCGAGAGGTGCCAGAAACACAATGTCCATAAGGGAAAGGAACGAAGTCGCCCACACACCCTTTCAAAAAATTGCGGTCGACATAGTAGGGCCTATGAACACAACAAGTAAAGGGAATAGGTTCCTGCTGGTCATGATTGATGTATTTACAAGATTCGTCGAGGCCTACCCGTTGAAAGACCAAACAGCGTGGTCAGTTAGTAACACCATCTTTAATAGGATATTTTGCTGCTATGGCGTACCTGAAGTGATAATCTCTGATAGGGGGACGAACTTCTTATCCTCTCTGTTTGCTGATTGTTGTAGGTGGTTGGGGATTAAAAGAAATATCACAACGGTGTACAGGCCGTGTGCCAACGGGTTGTGCGAGAGAGTCAACAAGTCAATAGTGGAGATGATAGCGAAGTCTGCAAAGAGGGGTGAGGTTGAATGGGATGAGATGGTATACGCGGCCTGCTTTGCGTACAATAACTCAAACCACTCGGCCACGAACGAGTCGCCTGCCTTCCTCCTGTACGGTGTAGATCCTCGCATACCTAACTTCGAGTACCCCGCGAGGGAGGAAACGACAGATGAGCGCAGAGCTTTCCTGATTACAAAACTCCGTACGTTGAGGGAAGGTGCAAGAATGCGCGCGGAAAATTTTAACAGGGGAAGGAGGGAGTACAGTAATAAAGGCCGTAAGCTAGAGCGGTTTTTGGTGGGGCAAAGAGTGTGGCTAAAAAAGAGCGGCGTGAAGAGAAGCAAATTCGCTGAGAAATACAAAGGGCCGTTCCGTGTAATAGAAATCATAAACCCCACAACATACTGCATAGAAGGGTGTAACTTTAAAGATAGAGAAACTGTCCATGTGGATCGATTAAAGATTTACTATGGACCCCCCGATTCCGGAAGGGGCAGTAAAGGCAGGCCGAACAGGCGCAAAGGAGATCATAGGGAGCCTGAGATGGAGGAGGAGGAGGAAGAAGCCCAAGGAATTAGATGGGTTAGACCTCATGAAGGTGATAAAGGGAAAGCACCCAGTGTCGACAACACGCCTCAAAGCAAGGAGAGTGAGGGAGTGCACGGGGGGCGTTATAACTTACGTCACCGGCAAATTGACTTCCGTCGCTTACACAACGGAAGTTAACATCTTTCGAGGGGAGATATGTAGCACTTCGTGACTATTTCCTTTTTTTCGTTTCGGGTTTCTTTTTTTTTTTTCTCGCCCCTTTCGTTTTATTTCGCGTTACCACTCTTCCATGGGTAACTGTGTATCGGCAGCCAGATTGGCTGGTCGAGGATCACGTGCGGTATTTCCGGTTTACAAGATATATAAGGGGTGACCCACGTTGTGTAGGGGATTTTCGTTCCTGGGATGCCTGGCTCGACCGAAGTGGAAGAAAGAAGAGGATTGGCGTCGGAGTGCTGAAGAGAGAACAAAGAAAAGGATTGGTGCCGAAATAGGAACTGTGCGGTCATAGACTCTAACTCCCTCATATAACGGAAGATTGAAGGAAGACTCGTCAGCACGGAGTGTTTCTTCGAGTGTTTTGTTCACGACCAAGTTTTTTTCTTTTGTCGTGAGTAGTGCTTAGTTAATTTCTTTGTTACGCGCCGTTCTTGCCCCGCTTCGCCACGTGTTGTGAGCCTCATTGTTAAGGGAGGTAAAGGAACGAGGTAAACGTTTGTATTCGTTGTTTTGATTCGGATGTTTTATTGTGACATTGATTCGCGATTCATGTANAGCTGACTTGTCCGTGTTTTTTTTTTTTTTTTTTGTTTTGTTTCAACCCTGAAAACCCTACTCAACAGGGGACACTTTTACAGTGTCATCCTGGACAAGTTGAGACAGGTATGCCAACCAAGGCAGACCCGATGGAGAGCTACCCATCCAGCTCCAGATTGGTCGGCCAACAGATATAAAATTTAGATATAAGGCAACACAACCATTGAAACAAGAAAAAAAAAAAAACAAGCCTGGCCTAAAATTTTACTGTTGTGAAAAGCAAGCAAGAAGTATTGCTGTATATTTTGTAAATAGTTGTCAAATAAATGGACTTAAACTGAGTTCAAGGAGTCATAAGGTGTTCTTTTTGATAGACCACAGATCTGGAAATTGGAAGGCACGATCAGAAATTTACTATCACCACAGCTATCATAGCTTATCTTAAATGGAAGTAAAGCTGTATTACTAATTTCTTTAATAACTGTTTTAAAAAACATTTATTACATTTACATCTGTAATTTATCATTATTTTTTAGATATTACATAATTTCAAGATATAAAATTTATAACTATATTACTCATAAAAATATAATAACAATATTTCATTATAACATCCTCTAAATAACAAAACATATCCATTAAAAAAATTAGTACTAACACTCACTACTACTGCATTTTAGGTATGCAAGCAACAAACAATTTATTTGCACAAGACCCTCATGCTATACAGAGACCTTAATGATGCAGAGGATACTGTCAATGTGCTTCCATTCTGACAGTGTAAAACATGAAGACAATGAACAGTGCGTTCAAAGCCTGACTATAATTGATCCATGTGATGCTTCTCATGTACAGTATGATTCCGTCCTTTTAAGGCTACCAAATTTGCAGTCACACATTTTAAATGTTCCTACAAACAAAACTCATACATATTAAAATCCAAAGATAAGAATGATTAGTTATAAATTTCCTATAAGCAAAATATTGTTGTATAAACTGATGTATATAACTCCAATATATGGAAGCACTCCATCTTATGTGAGCTTGGTTGAAGTGGTGTTGTAATTGGATATAACGAGTGTTGAGTATCTCTTGGTATCTCTGGACCATCAAAACAAGCTCATAAGGACTAGCTTCTTTAAAGAAAAATGGTCCAAGGACATGGCTGTGAATCCATATAACATTGTAACTTTAAGGGAGCATTGTGAGATTTGCTGAAAAATATGAGGATTCCTCTGGTCAAATGTGACAATTATGGATGTTCATTGATCTACTGAGATGTCTCATTGTATCACAGGAGCAACAAGGTAACTTACTAGATGGCTATAATACAGTGCCTTTAGCAGAAAAAGTCAATATCGAACATAAGTTAGGTTACCCTATTAGCAGCAAGCAATTGTTGGTTGTTGTTGATCTTTTACAGATAATGTACTAATTTTCTCAGTATCTTCCTCATTGTATCATAGGATACAACTGCTATGACACTAGAGCTTGTTTTATAAACCAGTTCTGAGAGGCCCATCCTCATCTATTGTGCAGCTTTAGTTTACTGCTTCTACAGCACACCCATTCAGCTACTTTCTTGAAACCATCTGGTAGACTCAAATCACAATGTTCATAAAGTTGTAAGTCTGGGCACTGAGAGATGACACCACTCAACTTTATCAAAATTTCTGGATTTTAGTGTCAAATAGTTTAATGACAAGAAAGAGGCTACTTAGACAACAACGTAGAAATCATAGTGTGACAATAGCTTTGCCAACATAACCATTTTCTACTGCACTGCTGAACAGGTACAAAGATTTCTTAATTTTTGTACTCCTTAAGATTTTTACTAGTGACAATCACTATTTGCAATCTTGTCATGCCAGATTTGCAGTATTTGTTGAAATTTTATCATATCAACAGCAGGGAACAAATAAGACAAGCAACAGAGATTTTTCTCTGTTGCTTGTCTTATATTTTTGAAAGTCTGCATCTATAACTAAGCCCAACTAATAATTCTTCCAGGAGCAAACAGTATCCAAAATATATACCACATAGCTTAAGAGCATAATGAATTGCATTATTTGAATTAGAATTAGTAACTCTAACATCTTTTCTTCTGCAGAAAATGGCATTTGCTATTTAACTTCCTCAAATAAGGTGATCATTCTCCAGAGAACTTGTAGACTCAATGATCCTCAGCAAAAATTCTTGACAGTGAAATTCTCAACAGCATTATTATTATTTTCATAGAACAGCTTTACAAGAAATGCACTTACTTGTGTTTTTGAATCTGTTTTTGAAAATAAGAATTTACACGGCTCATAAGAATTTACATTCAGCAATTGTGGCCACTTTTATACCCAGAATTTGGCAACATGCAATACATATATGCTTATGCAAAAAACTGCTTTTCTGTTGCATGCAATGCCAAAATTGCCAGTGGTGAATTGTGGTACTAATTTTTTATATAAATGTCTTCTGCAGTCCTAAATTGGTTAAAATGCAACCAAATCTAGAATGGTGATACTAGATTTGGTTGCATTTTAACCAATAAAGCTCTTCAAAAACATTAAATACGGTTACTTTATTTGGAACTTAATTACAGGTACCAGATTAATCTGGACATATATATGTATCGTATCTACTGTTTTTGAAATTCTACCAAAATTACAAACTATCAATTCAGTTGAGTTGAAAATTTGTTAGTCACATAAGCTAAATATGTAAAAGTTGATTTTAAAGAATTTATGTACTTATGACTATGTTCTTTCATTCTTTATATATAAATTATAAATTAGCTTAAATTTATATCTTGTATTATTTTATAAAAATTATGTATATAATTTTTATAAAATAATACAAGATATAAATATATAAAAGCATTTTATAAGAATATGTTATATAATTATATATAAAAATTACTTTCTACAAATTGAAGTTTTTATAGTTAAAAATTAAAATTAAACAACATATTTGATTAAATATTTTTATGTTATACCTTCTTGTAAGTATGGTAAATTATCTCCAGATTGTCTTCTAGTTTCTTTTATTATACAAGGGTCTTTCTTCATTGTACATTTATTATATTGCATTGAATCACTCTATAAAAAAAAACAAGATATTAATGATAGATATTAATTAAATAAAAATTTTTAATAAATTTTTATTTAAAATATTTACCTCAAGTTGCATTTTTTCCAAACAGCTTTCAGAAGAAGAATGTTCCATAGCTGTAGTACTGTAAGCAAGTTTAAAACGTGACCGCAATGATTCAATTTCATTTTTATGAGTTCTTTCCAAAGTTTCTTGTAATTTATTTAAAGCTTCCTGCTTTTCATGTTCAAATTGTTTTTGTTTTATCAATAATTGTTCTTCATAATCCTTATCTAGCTGTTCCTATAAAAATATTAAATCTTAAGAAGTTAATATATAAGGATTGTCCAATTGAAAAGTGGACATATATCATATTTCATTGTTCATTGTGGTGGGCCACATTAGGGGCAGATAAGTTCAACATAGGAGAGGCACAGGATGCATTAAGTATGGGCAAGAATAGATTTTATCTCCAATAATTGGCAAATTATGTTAAGTTTGTTACAGGAAGAGACCAGAATCGAACAACAAATGGTAGTTCAATTTTTAGTGGCTAAAAGAAATAGGAATGTCAACATCTATAGACAACAACAACACTATAACAAAGACCCCAAGTTCCTCCTTCATACTGTTGCAGGAGAAAAGACATGGTGCCACCATTATGTGAGGGGCTCAGCTGTGGATACGGAGTGGTAAGACTCTAGTATCACTTAATCGGCAACTATTCTCTAGAATAGCCCTCTGTTTGTTTAACAAGGATGGTTTTCTATTCAAGAAATTGAGGGTGGAGGGACTTACAGATTGAAGGTTAATGCAAAGCGGGATTAGAGGATTTTGTAATCACTTGTTCCCTCGTCAGGATTCCTGACACCAGTTAATCAATTTTGGGATACGCGGATTAACATGCATATTGGGATGATCCAGAAATGCATCTATCGGGATGATTCAGCTATGAGGAGACATTCTTTAACAATGATAAAACAAAAATTTAATGAATGAAATAACAAAAATTATACAAAATAGAATAATTAATCTAAACGTATCGAGAGAGAGAGCTCACAAATTTCTACTATGATCATACTACCTCAGGAGACTTTTATCTTCTTCGGTCCTTTATGATTGATATGTCAGTTCTTTCTGGAGTATGACTCGATCGGCACATATTTATATATTTTTTCCCTATTATTTCTCCCTAACTTAACTCATTATTAAAATCTACTGGATATGACTATGGGCGTTGGCCTTCAGGAGATGGTATGGAGTTCGTCTTCCTTCTTTCGGATTTCATGGCGGACTCTCCGAATCATGCAAAATTCTTCCTATTTCTCACGATTGTTCTCCAATCAGTTTTTTGGGTTCTCTCATGTGAACAGAGGAAAAGGGGATGTATCAAGGGGTTAATAATTCTCAGGGTGCTGAAATTTGTAGTAGATAAGGGTAAAACAAAAGAATGTTTCAACTTCCATTGCAGGAAGTGACTTTTTATCAGTTTGGTGATAAATTAGAAAAACCTAATTTCTCACCAAAATTAAAGAATATTTCTTTTTCGTTAAAAATTTAACTTTATAATTAAATTATTATTTAGTCACAGGAGCTATTCAGATCTCACAATTACACTACTGAAATGAAGAATATGAGCAAGCAATGGAAACACTTGTCCCCTGGCACCTTGTAAGTTCATAATTATACCCAGCACTGTAAAAATAATGTTGACTTTTTTTCAACTGCCATGTGACTTTAACATTTTCAGACCACTCAAGAAAGCTTTCTGAGAGCAAAGATTCATGTTAAACAATATCAAATTGATATACTCCAAGTATATCAATTGTAGAAGATTAAGGATAGGTTCAAGGAATTTTTTTACCATCAGCCACCAGAATTCTACACAAGGGGGAACAATCTGCTTGTGAGATGCTGGGATCTTTGCCTAAACAAATATGGATTTTCTTTTAGATTTGCAATAAATATTTGTCAATTATGACATGTATTCATTTTTCCTTTAAACAACTCTTATAACATTGAATATTAAATTAATGAAATAAATATTTCTGAATGTAATTAATTTAAATTGCACTCCAATTTAATGCATTTTTAAATTTTCCAATATTAATAAGTTAAAATTATATTTGAAAACTATAAAATCTATATTAAATGATTAATGAAAACATTGCTGAAAAAAAGTCATTGTATTATTATTTAAAAAAACTTTTTTTTCCATATCAGCAGTTTGTGTTTAAACACCATATTTTCAAATGTCTTAACTCATCACATAAAATTTAGTTCAAACCATTAATATATTTATGAATTTACTAGCCAAACTATACTACACCATCCAATACACAGTTAAAAGAATGACTCAACTTTCCATTACAATTATGAAAAAGCTATTTTCCAGTAAAATAAAAAAATTATGATAATGACATAGTATATATGATTCACACTTTTGAAGGTTTAATATAATTTATTCATAACTACATTATTGTAGATTAGAAAAAATTTATCTCAAAAATATACAAGACTAAATACTAGTGTTAATTTTTCCAATTAAATCATAATATTTGAATTTTTCATTGTGGATTTGGGCATACATGAACAAATAAAGAAATTTAATTCAAAAACATTTCAACTGTATCAAATAAAATAGAATAATTAAATTCAGTGCTCTTTCAAAAATTAGCAGATTAAAGGATAGCTGTAAAAATAATAATTACATTATTTTATATTGTTTTAGAAAAATATGAATTAAAGTAAGTTTTTGAACAATTAGAAGACTTTTTAATTTCTTACTTTTTGTTAAATTATAATGCATTATGAAACTTTTTATACAAAGTATTGTTTTGAAAAATATGTAATAAAATATTTTCAAAATGTATTTGTTGAAGAAAAATTGAAAAATAAAATGATGTTAATAAAATGACACTAACATTTTCAAATTTGTAGCCATCTTCAGAACACCACCAAACAACATTTGCACACAAACATTCTCAATTTTCAATAACTGAATTTTAAAGCTTAAAATTATTTTATTTAGGCCCAATTTCTCTCCAAATAAAGCATTTTTCAAAGCAAGTAAATTAAATAATACAATATGGAACACATTATTAGAAATATAAAACTATGTAAACTTAAATTCTACAAAGTCTATTAAATTTCAAAAATTTTAATTAAAATTTATTAATTTTGTAGTTAGTTATTATTAAGAAATTTCATAAATAATCTTTTTAAATATCTATTCATAAACTTTATAACTTACTTTATATCTTTGTAATTTCTCTTCATAGTTGTCTTCAAAACTTTTTATAATTTTCATTTCTAATTGTCTTTCAAATTCTTCTTTTTGCATTTGTAATCTTTAAAAAAAATTGTAATAATTAAAAATGCTTGATAACCAAATTTCATCAAATTATGGGTTTTAGTTTTTCTGTAAGAAATTAATAAATACTAAATGTTAATGAGAGACTGATAAATTGGCATTTAAAACATAGAGTTTTGATCATTTACAATGTAAATAGGGAAAACAGATATCTGGAGTTGTTTCATTTTATTCAAAGAATTTTATTCATGTTTCCATTCTAATTATTCAACATATCATTAGAACTAAGCTTCCATTGATTTTTTTCAACTTTCTTATTCTGATAAGTCTTCCTAAATTATTTGTTAGTACACAAATCAGAAAGAATAATCTGAATTTAACATTAAACTGAAAATCTGGTTTGACACTAAATTAATATTGGCATTTTTAAAATTAATTTAATATTGAAAACAATTTTTAACTTCAAAAGTCATATTTAGACACTTATACAGAGAAATAAACTAATCTCTGTCTCTCTCAACCTGTAATATATATAGCTATTTTCTTAGAATGAAATACAGATGTTTATAAAATATATTTTATTCATTTAAAAATACATTCAATTAGGTATACATTATAGTTATATAAATATACGTGGTACGATCCAAAAGTTCGGGGACTGCAGTAATGTATGACAACAAAAGCATGTATTTAAAGTTACAGCGTATGAAATGGATTCTATCAAACCACCCCTACGTCTTCAGGTTGATTTTGCCCATGTCACATGATTAAACTGTGAGTACTGTTGTTTTTTTTCGAAGATAGTTACTTTTGTTTTGCGACGTAATAAAAATGGAGTTTCAAGAACAGTGCTGCATCATTAAATTTTGTCAGCGTTTAGGTAAAACATCTATGAAGACTTTAAAATTGCTAAGAAAGATGTATGGTGATTCTACCATGGTGAAATCAAAGATTTAAAGAGGGCCGAGAATCTATCGCAGATGATGAACACTCCAGCCAACCTTCGACTTCACGGAACGAGGAAAATGTTGAGTTGATCTCTCAATTATCTAGACATTTTACATCATTTAAGGGAATCCATTTGTCATAAACAGCTGCAGATCTGGTGAAGTGGAGACTGGTACCTTCTGCATGACAATGCACCTGCAAATTGGTCCCAAATGGTCACCACAGTTTCTCGCCAAATCTCAAATTAATGTGCTTCCACACCCCGCCTATTCACCGGACTTAGCTCCATGTGATTTTTATTTGTTTCCATCAATGAAAAAGCATTTGCAGGGACGCCGTTTTGTGTCATCAGATGAGGTGAGAGCAGCATCGCAAGAGACTTTACGGGAGGTTTCAAAAAATGGCTTCCAGCAGTGCTTCCAGAAGTTATATTAGTGTTGGCAAAAGTGTATCGTTGCCCAAGGTGATTATTTTGAAGGTGGTTGTGCATCGGCAATATAAACTTTTTAAGGTAAAGAATTTTAAGCCAAGTCCCCGAACTTTTGGATCATACTATGTATATGAATAAAATATAAGAAAATAAATTATTATTGATAATGTCAAAAATATTTCCCAAGAAAAATTTCTTCAAAAGAAATAAACTGCAAAAAAATAGCCCATAAGAAATTTATTATTAACTTCTTAGTATGACAAAAAATATTATTAGAATTTTTTGTTAATCTTTCTTGAAACATTTTTAAATATAACTTTATTACATTAAAAATTCTTTATATAATAACTTATCCTTCTTATTTTTTGATTTTTCTAATAAGCTGGCAGAAAAAAGATTTTGCAATAAAATTATTTTTAAGAAAAATCTTATGATTATTTGTTCCAAAAATATAATTTCTGATTTTGTAATATCTTTCTTATAGCTGTTGATATTCTTATTTGCATTAGAAACTATATTTTTATTGTCACTTTCCATATGATAATACATGTTCTACAAGCTCTTCAGAAAAAAAAAATTAAGGCTTTTTGAAGTATAAGTTCTCTCTTCTTCAAAAGAAGAAATCACACTTCAGAACCTCTTAAGTTTTACTCAAAATTTAGTTTCATTCAATCTCTATATCTCAGAAAACATTAACTACTTTCTTTATCTACAAAAGTAACTGAATTTTACCTTTACCTAAAATGTTAGCACAAGTCAAACTGACTCAGTTTAGTAATTTTAAGAATACCATCATCTAATGTTTTACAATATAAAAAAAAAATAAAAAAAGCATATCATTTTAGTATTACACTCATGTTTGTGAAAATTGCAACACCATGAAAGAATTGTGCAAATTGAACCAAACTTAAAGGAAATGTAAAGTGAGGTAAGACATGTAAATGAATAGAATTACAAAGCAATTGCACAAGCATAAAATGAGAACCAGCTCCTTATCAGCCACTTGTTCCAGGTATATAAAGGACTGTAAAGATGCATTAAATGCATAAAATGCATTAAAAAGCCATTTATCTTCCTCTGTCCATGGTAAACGTTTCATTGGTGGTCAATATGCCTCGTCAAAAGCTGAGGAAGCCATACCAACAACTAACGGAGTTTATAGGAGGCCGCATCATCGGTATGTAAGAGGGTGAATTTTCGTATCAAGAAATCACAGCCCACACAAAGTGTAATGCCACAACAGTGATGTGTGTTTGGAAGAAATGGACAGAGGAGAACCAAATAAGGCAAAAACCTGGCAGTGAAGCAAGCAATAGCACAATGGTACGGGACGACAGACACCTAATCCACATGACTGTGATGGACTGTATAGCATCCTCTCGTGTGTTAGCACGTTTTTTTACTAGTTCCAAGTAATTATCACAAAAATCCTTCCAGAAAAATTCTACAATGTTGGAGCACAGCTACAGGTGTTTTGTTGTCTAGCTCCATGGAGTGAGTGGGGAATCCTGCATAGCTTTATGCAGGATTCCCCACTCGCTGATTCACAGACGTCTTCGACTTCAATGGGCTCAGCAACACAGCGCGTGGCATGCCCAGTGACAACAAGTTGTTTTTTCCGACAAATTTTGCTACAATCTGCATTACAATGATGGAAGAGTATGCGTCAGATGTTACAGAGGGAAACGTCTGCTCTCACAATGTGTTATCCAGCATCATACCACATAAATGCCTGGCATTATGGTGTGGGGAGCTATTGGGTATAATTGTCGATCCCATCTAGTGCACATTGCAGGCAACCTCAACAGTGATCGCTACATATGGGAAATTGTGGAGCCAGAGGTCCTCCCCCTTCTTCGACGCATTCCGAGTGCTGTATTTCAGCAGGATAATGCCCGTGCACATATTTCTCAGACTGCACAAACCTTCTTCAGTGCACAGCAGGTTTTGCTTCTTCCACGGCCTGCTTTTTCCCCAGATATGTCGCCCATCGAGCATATCAGGGATTTCATTGGTCGGCGACTCTGGTGGGCACAGAATAAGACTGTACAGCTGGTGGGGCACAGAATAAGACTGAACTTTGGCTTCAAGTTGAAGCCATCTGGAATGCCATTCCCCAGGATTACATTCAGAACTTGTATGATTCAATGCCATGACATGTACAGGCTTTCATCACTCAGTGTGGCGGATACACAAAGTACTGATTTCTGACGTTCTTTTTGTTTTTTTGTCTTGTAAATTTGATCATTTATTTGTACCACTATCAGTAATATGTGGAATAAATTTAATTAATTTCTGACAATTCCTTCATGGTGTTGCAATTTTCACAAACATGAGTGTAAAATATTACTATGTGGAAGATCAAACAATATCACATTTGTAAAAGGAGAATGTTAAATTACTAATCTCAAAATGATATTTAGCAAATCAGAATTTTTAAAAATAATATATGAACATATTTATTTACCTTTGAAATTCTTCTTTATGTAATTCTTCTTGCCTTTTTAAAGCTTGACAAACAGCAACATTTTCTTGTTCTCTGTACCTTTCTTCCATTAATTTTTGAAATTGTTCTCTCTCTTGTTGAAATCTTTCAGTATATACTCTTTCTAATGATGCTTTATCATTGTGTAAAAGATGAATTTCATTATCTTTCTTCTCAATAATCTGTATAATTTTCATAAATTATATTAAATTAAAAAAATTTTTTTTATCTAATTATACTTGTAATAACAATATGCTAAATCAAAAAATAAGAAAATTACTATAAAATTTATTTTATTCTATATTTACAAAATTTGTATATATGCTATATAATAAATCCATTATTAAATTCATTTTATTCATTATTTGTTAAATTTTTATTCAATTTTATTGTATAATATTTAAAATTTATCTCTCAATAATTTTAACTTATTTTCCGACAACATAAATATGAAACAAAAAATAATAGTTACTCTACACTTGCTGAATTCATAAAATGAGATCAAGTTAATCATAAATTGGATTATGGCTAAAGAAAAGCTATGAACATTTAAAGTTATTTATAAGAAAATGATAATCAGTAATATGTATTATCTACAAAAAAATAACTGTAACTGATTTATTAAATGATTATTATAGGATGGTGCATCAATTTCAAGTAACAGGTGAAAGACAGTGAGAAATGGTAAAAACTTCATTTGGCTATCAAAAGGCATACATATGCATTTAATATCACATACAGTATATATTATACTTATAGTAGTGCTTCTTGAAAATGATGTCTGCTAAACATTCTCCATCTACATTGATGCATTCTTGTAGGTGGTGCAGGAAGGTGTCCATGTAGGTGTCCATGAGCATAGCACCTGTTCCATGGAATCTCATGTATTTCCCAATGGATGGCAACAAATCCACCACCAATCAACCCAAAAAGTATTGTGAAACTATAGAGTTTTTGCCACTCAACAAGGACTTCTAAGCAAAGCTGTGAACATGCTCCACATTCTCTGTTATGTGAAAATGTCATCTCTTACCTTTCAACTGATGTTCTGAACATTGCCCATGGCTCTCCATTGTTTGACCCATCTCAAAATGCTGTGTTAGTCTGGCACAGGTACATGGTGGTCTTTGCTATTGTATCACAGTGCCTGCTGGACTTCTGTAATGGATCTGTTTACATCTAAAGTAATTTTTAATATCTCGTTCAAAAAAGGTAATTATTTTCTTATCTACATAAGAAAATAGTAGTTTGCAAAATTTCAAGATTTTCTATAAAGCAATTGCCAAAATATAAGCATTAAAAAGTGCAAAAATCACTAAAACAGCTGTCTTTTCTCCTTCTTCATTTGGCACTGCAGATGCTTGTAGAAAAAAAAACTACTAGGTCTAGAAAACTCAAATTTTAAACTCAAGCCTTTCCTGTTATCAGTAAGATGCTGGTGAAAATTCCTGGTAGATAGGTCAAAGTTCACAGTTGTTTCCTATATAGAGATATTTCAGTTTTATGGCTTAATTTTATGCTTATAAGGCTAAAATTGCATGAAAACAAATTTATTCAAAACTAGCTGTTATCCGTGGCTTTACCTGTGCAGAATTTGCAATTTGATAGAAATAACCCATCCTTGGTACTTCACTAAGATTCTCAATCATTAGTTGTTACTATAAAAACAAAAAATTGCATCTATAATAGTACAGTAGAAGCCATTCTTCAGGTTAAGCCTTAATTTCAAAAAATCCCTTCTTAAATACTCGGCTCGGATGTCACGCCAACAGTTAACTCAATCAAAAACTTCATCAAAAACTTCAGATTATGAGGCGTTAAATAAAAGATTAAAATATTTCTTTTAAATCCCTTCTTAGTGTGCATTTTCATGATGTACCAAATTTCACCTCTAGGTTCAGCGATTTGCTATGGAAAATGATGAATCAATCACTCAGTCAGTCAGGACAAGTAATTTTATATATATAGATGTTACTCAGAATAACAGAAGCTCAAATTTATGTGAATTAAAACTTTTTATAACAATTTTTCTAAATAGCATATCAAAAGCATATTTCAGCAAGCAAAATGTATAAAATAACTAGCTTACCTGTCGCGCATTGCTGTGATCTCAGAAGAAACAAAATTCAAGCAAACTCGTTATGATAAAATTCAATTTACATTTTATCATTTTTATTGAAACTTATTATTATTATATTACACAGGTCAACAGTGGTTTTGGTGCCCAGGTATTTTGAGCTGATTTCATATGAATTTGATGTCCTGAATTCAAATATGGCATTAGTTTTTGCCTAGGAGCTCTAATTTTTAAGATATAGCATTTTAGCAAAATATACATTTCAATATCTTAAGTTAAATCCATGGATCAAGTAAAAAAACTAAACACGGAATTTTTATTATTATATTATGCAAATATTATTCTATACAAAGATAGAGGAAAAAGTCATCAATAAAACTAAACAGTTACACATTGAGGAAGCTTCTTTTCCGTGACTTTCGTGAATGTATTTTGGAGCAATCCCTTTTTAAACTCTGCCATCATATGCGTATCCCATCTTCCTTGGTAGCGGTCCTCCATAGTTTTAATATCCTGGTGAAATCTTTCACCTTGTTCTTCACTGGTATCTCCTAAATTTTCAGGAAAACGGTCTAAGTGACTGTGTAAATAGTGCACCTTAATACTCATATTACACCCAAGGAATTTGAAACTGTTAAGCATCTCGTTTACCAGTTCAACATAATTTTCAGCTTTGCGTTTGCCTAGAAAATTTCTGACAACTGCAACAAATGAAGTCCAGGCTTTTCGCTCAGCTTCATTCATCGAATTTACGAAGGCAAGATCGTTAATGAGTTGTCTTATTTGTGGGCCGTCAAATATTCCTGCTTTAATTTTTTCTATACTTAACTGAGGCATTTTTTCCCCTATATATGCAAAGCATGATCCCTTCTTATCAAGAGTCTTTACAAACTGCTTCATTAGGCCTAGCTTGATGTGCAGTGGAGGAAAGATGATTTTCTCTTGTTCAACTAAGGAGTCGTTAATGACATTTTTTTCTCCAACGTCTATGTTTTCTCTCTTAAGCCACTCTTTTTTAATCCTGTGGTGGGGGGTTTCTAACCCAGGGTTTCTAAGTCTACACAAATTACCCATTGATGTTCACGATACTTTATCTTCTCCAAGACCAGAGCTATGGTGTTATATTCTTCTTTCATTTTCGTTGAGTGAGCAATTGGTATTGAACCATATTTGTTCCCATTGTGTAAAAGGACACATTTCAAACTTCGTTTTGAGCTGTCAATAAATAGGTACCAATCATCTGAAAAATATTCAAGAAGGCCCATTTTTTCCAAGAGTCCTCTAATTTTGTGACAAAACACAAGGTTGACTTCTTGAGAAAAGAAAGGTAGCAGATCCTTTTCTCTTGTACAGTAAAAGGTAATTTTGGTTCCTTGCTCCAGTAAATTTTTCTCCTTCAACCTGGAAGCCAATAATTCAGAAGCTTCTTTTGGCAGGTTGAGATCTCTGGTGAGGCAATTTAACTCATCCTGGTTGAAACATTGAGGAATTGATGACATTCTCTCGTAATCACAGTCACCTTCATTAAGATCAGAGGGATACTCGTCCTCTCACAGAGCTCTGGTAGCTGGTGAAATAATGGAACTGGCACTTCCTGTGAGGGAGGGATCAGGCGTCTTGCAGAGACTAAATCAGGATAAGTCCACTTGCTATGGTTGTTATGATTGATTCCATTAATATTTACTAGGCAGAAATAACAGTCATTGAAGTGAATTTTGGGTTCTCTCCAAACCACTGATATGCCAAATTTCAGACTTTTTCTTTTCCCAGTAGTCCACTGTCGTAAATGTTTTGTACAAGTTTTACAGACCTGATGCGGTGCCCAGCTTTTATCCTGATCATCAAGTTTAACACCAAAGTATCCAAGATAAGCTCTCTTTACAAAGTCACTAATATCTTTCGTTTTCTTTTAACATATATTCTCCGCATATGTAGCAAAACACATCAGAACGATTTACACAACTTCTACTTGAACTCATTTTATTTCTATTCAACAACACAAATAAAAGCATCTAGAACACAGTACTTTCTTCCTTGTTTTCCTTTCCTTCTAGAACTTTCCTTTATAACCCTTTTCCCTTGGAGTGGGATTAACAATTCTTGAAACCACTGAGAACAAAGAGATGAATGAAGTCCTGATACTGATGAAAGAGCAGAAATGACATTCTTTGCCCAGACCTTGAGGTGGACAGACATGAGTTGTGTTCCAAGTTGCGTTTGGCAACGACCGGAAAGTACAAGAAACTTTGATGAAAGGATCAGGTTTTATTGTGGTTACGACAAAACAGTGTGGCAATTAAGTGTATATGTTAGGGGGCATAAGAATTTTAGAAAGGCTTAGGTGCAGCATAGCAAAAAAAGGTTGGGAAACATTGATCTAGACACTGCATGGCTAGAACTTACAAACTTACCTCAACTCTAGTTGAAGCATTGAACGTCAATTCGTTACCGAATGCTTACTTCATTTGGTGGATTTACCTGGAACTAACTGGACAGCAGACTAACAATGGGGAAAATATACAGGAATCAATTCTTGCATATGTGATTTAGAACTGTACAAACTGGAATTAGAGCTGCACATTTCATGTAGCACTGTACATTAAAAAAACACAGATCTAAAAAAGTAGAGCTGATAGAGAAAAACTGATTTAATATTTGGATTCAGCAAACCAATTATAGCTAAAATCAGTTCTAAAATCCTAGGCACCAAAAAAAAAATTTTTTTTTTGGTTGACCTGTGTTGTTATTATTCATTTTCATCGGAAAAACATTTCAAAGTGTCGTTTCAATTCTATTTATTTATTGGAGTGCTTGTGGATACACAATATTTTTTTTTTCCATCTGGTGCGTACAAGAATAAATCAGAAGGTTTTCCAACGCATGAGCTGGCCACATAACAGTTGTACATGTGAGAAGCACAGATTCTTTAAATTTAGTCCACATACTCACAGAGATTGTTAGAAGTGCGATATTCCCCATTTTTATATATATATTTTTAAATCCTTTATAATTTTGATTATTTAATTGCTCCTTCCTCTCTTCCTTGTTATGTTGTGAAATTTCTGATAGTTGGATAATAAACTGTTTTATTGTAATTTGTCTTTTTAAATTATTTTGAGTCAATATTAAAATTTGGAAAAGGGGGATCCCTAGATCGGTAAAATAGGCAAATTTCCTTCTACAACTTCGGTTGTTGTTCGAGATACAATTAAGGTTTTAACAAAGTTTGAATGAATACATAATTAGCAAAAAAAACGTTGAAATAAAGTGATTAAACAAAAATTATTACAAATATTGTAAATAACAAATGCATATATAAAGATATTTTTGGAGGGGGGAAATGGTCTTCACAATTTGAAATCGATCGAACACACAGTAAAATGCTCGTATACATGCGCACCATCTATCGTAAGATAAATGTACTATGCCAGAAACCTTCACAGGAGTGTATTAAAAACTTCCCAAAGCTTCATGGCAATCGTACTATGCCAGAAACCTTCACGGGAGTATATTAAACAACTTCCCAAAGTTTCATGGCAATTGGATAAACAGTGTGGTAATGCATGAAGGACAGACACACAGATGTACATTCATTTTTATATATATAGATAATACAGGTAAAAACCTTGTGGGTTCTGCTTCAAAGTGACAAGCTTATCTTTACATTAATAAAACTCCTAAGAAAAAATCTGACTGTCATCTAAATTGTCATAAGTTTTTACTTGGCACAAATTTTTTGTCTCAGTTATTTTTGTTTGGATATATTGTAGTGATTCCAGTTTACCAGGCTTTTGAAAATTTTATATTATAAACATTTGAGTCTTGGAACTATTACAAACAAAATATATTGGATCGTGTGAGCATATAGTTTAAGAAACACTGCTCATGTGCATTCTGATAGTGCTGCCACCTGACATTAGTATAACACCACTCTAACAAATTAGTTGTAAAAATTCAAGATTTTGTACTAAATTCAATTAAAATCAATTATATACACAATTCTACTACAGAAGTAAAAGTTTGATAGCAAGATATTTTAATATCAAATTATAAATATGATATAATAATGATTATTTGAATATTTTCTTAATATTAGTAGTAAAATTTTTTTGTTGTAATCTTATATATTTACCATGCTTGATGCCATTAATTGTTTTTTTTTTTTGTTCTTAATATAGATGAAGTCAACAGTGATTACAATAAGCAGATTATAATGTATACTCTTCTCTTTAGGAATATTAAAAAAGTTTAAAAAGTCACTCTCTCCTCATTTACTTTAATATACATATTAGTCCTATAAATCTGTTCCTTTTGTACAGTACATGAAATTTTTAAATTATTTCTTTATTAAGCCATCCATAAAATATGTTCTCATTGTAGTTATCTCTCCCCCTAAAGTTGTAAAAGCAACAGACTCAATTTTTATTTGTATGTAAGAATTTATAGTAACAAAATCATTCCCTCAATACTAAATGCCAGATATTGGATATATCTTACTTTCACTAATATTTTTTGATACATCCACAGAGATCTAAACCTGAGAAGAGAACCATCTGTAGTGCAGGATCTTATGTTATGGCTAGAGAGCAGATTAGATAGGGGAGCAATACTCCATTCATTACACTTCCAACATGACAATCATTCCCATTTTAAAATATTCATAAATTATAAATTTTATTCTAAAATAAGTTCTAATGTTTTCATATTATCATCTAAAACAAACATAAAATTAATAACATTAAAATGTTAAATTTAATTATATTAATTAATTAAATAGAAAAAAATCCTCTTTATCATAAGATTCTTTTTAAAATGTTGAACATTTACTAATAAATTATTTTATGATAGTAGATTTTTAAAATAAATTTAAATTAATATTTCTCATTGTAAATTACACACAGCTTCTGTAGAAATTACAGAAATTCCATAGTGATTGGAATCTCTGCATCTACCAGTTCATTCCGTAGTAACTGTTATTCACCCCCTTTTTAAAATATTTTAAACTTTAAATTCCTTTCTGCCAGCCAATCAATCATACCATAAAAAGAATGGGTTTTTATAAATAACACCTTATCATTGGCTGTTTCAATAAAATCACTTTGTACCATTTTTTATTTTGATAATTTATGTTTTACATTCCATTCAAATAAAACTACCCAAAATATTTTAAAACAACAAATTAAAATAAATTTAAAACTCACTTCATTTAGATTTTTAATTGTTTCTTCTTTAGAAATAAGCTTTCTGTTCCATTCTTCTCTTAAATTATCTAACTCTAATTCATGCTCTAGCATCAAATTTTTAGCAATTTCATTACTTTCTTCCTTCAATTCTTTTTTAATCTATCAAAAAATTTAAGTAAATAATATTTAAATTTATTTTGGTTATAATTAAATTCAAAAATAAAGTAAAGTAATTAAATAATTAAAATTAATTCAATAAAAAATAATATATATTATTTTTGTTCCATTTATTAATAAATATCTATAAAATTGTTTTATAAAAATTAAAGTTATAAAAATATACATTATGAAATTATACAGAAGAAATATTTATAATTATCATAAATCATACTATCATCATGCAGTTTTAAAATTGTAAATTTTATTGAGTACAGCAAAACCTACTAATGTGACCAACTGTTTAAGGTTGGTCACATTAGCACACATGTAAGATGACTTCAGTGGTCAGTCACATTAGCATATATCACTGTATATTGTGTGAATGAGAAATTAAATTATTACTATGCTTAAAAAATTTTTTTTAAATATAGTTTTAAGAAATTTTAAATCTAAAATAAAAACATAACATATTTTAATTACTTTATGCATATTTTCCATAAATTAAAAATTAAAATACTTTTGAAAAAATGCCTGAACATTTTCTATGAAAAAAAAAACATTTTATTGTATCTTTTATTGTTGTCAATTTTTACAATTGTATATAAATTAGAGTTATTCTAGATATTTATATTTACTTGATTATAAATGAAATAATTCATTTGTAAACATTATATATTTACAAATGAAATGAAGTAAATACAGGTAACCCCCGTATAACACGGCACTTCTATAGCACAAATTCACTAACACGGTTAGAGAATTGGTACCATCCCCCGTATAACACGGTACTTTTATAGCACGGATTTACTCTGACACAGTTCGAGAATTGGGTAAAACCCTTGTACAACAGGAAATGTAATAAATTTTTACATACTTAAGTAATAATAGTTTACGAAAATTATTATTTTCGTGAACTATTAGTACTTAAGTATGTAAATTTTCTCTTCTCGCCTTCCGTTGATACACGTGGTCCTTCTCGAAACTTGTTTCAATGTTGCCAGATCGTGACGCTTCTGCTTCTGATGTTGCCGAATGTTTTTCCCTTATTCCATACTTGCTTTATTCTTCATAAGTGCTTAGCACCATATAAGGAAATTTATAAAGACCTTTTAACTAGAAGCGAGCAATCTAAAATTACATACATTTTGCAAAAGGTAAAGCATGGATCTGAAGATAATGCAGAAAAATGCTCAGAGGATAAGGATAACTTGCCAAAAAGAAAACG